ATTATAAAATATAATATAGAGCTAAAAATAAATATATACTAATATAGGAAAAAAAATAAATTCTATTACAATATTATGTATGTCTTGGATAAATCGATCAATCGCTATAAAATAATACCTGAACTTATCATGTTTTTGCTCAAACTTTCTAGCATATTCTCAGTAGCATATATGTAATACTTGGTCTATATACTGAAGTTTCTATAATATAAGGAATGATATGTTAGTCTTGCTACTTTTACTAATAAAATAGAATAAATTTGTCAATGATCAATTATTCATAACTTTAGTACTAAATATACTTGGAGTAGTAAAATTATATCCAATACTTAACCAAAAATTAAGTAGCATTACGAAAGTTAAATTCTAAATAAGATCACGTATTACTCTAATGTTATTTCAGAAATCAGTTAGTAATTATATAAAAATCCACATATATGTATATATTGGTAGGATCTTAATATAATGGTTAGCATTGTAATTGTAAATATTCATTAGATATACTAGCTTTAGTGTAAGCAATCCTTCAGCTAATAAATATTACTTATCTTACTTAATGTTACCCAGACCATGTATTTTTAAGTTTCTAGATCCAGGTCCTCATTCTCAAAATCAGAATTTATGCCCATGTTTTTGATAATAAATCAATAATAACATAATAATAACATAATTAATATTTTTTTTCTAGTATGTTCTGACCTTTATTGACAGAGACAATAAATTAGATTTTAAGACATAAAATCTTAATCTTATATAAAAAGGATTCAAAAATCTTTAGTATACCCCTCTATCATTTTCTCTGTAATAATATCTCCAAAGAGGTCATGGCTAATAAAACAATAAGTTATTCTAACCATTTTGTAATTGCTTTTAGTAATAAATCACAATAACCAATAAAAAAATTAGGCATTTGCCAGCCTTCAGCTAATTCTCTCAAAACAAAACAACGTACCTATAATTTTTTTCAAAAATAAGATGTCAGTATTACAATAGTCTAATTAATTTGTTTGTAGGTTACCTTCGCACTCATGTATCTATACTAATAATCTTTTTTTCCCATTATAGATGTCTTCGATCAATGTTTCAAAAATTGCATCATTTTTGGCCTTTGTGTTAATAATGATGTTCGCTAAGAAAATTCCTGTCCATCTGATTTTTATTGCCATGTGCTCTGTTACATATGTCATCAGACAGCAACTTACTGCAGAACTTGACACACATATGGAAAGATTAACTGCAGATTTTACATCACAAGATGCCACAATTGTGGTTGAGAGACAGAGAATCCTGACAATGATAAATACTGTGATTGAAACTATTAATAAAATTACCACCAATTATAAATTCCTTTGTGACCAGTTGGACCAAATAACTGAGATGGGTTCTGTGGCACCATTAATATCTAAACAATTTGCTGGCCCATTCATATCTACGTCCAATTTTTCTTGAAGATCTTCTGGTTCTTCTCTGGGTTCTTCTAGTGGCTCAAGTCAATTATCTTTTTCTGATATTACCTCAACAACCAAAAACCACTTTAAAATTCTTTTTGATAAGATTATGATAGACAATAATTATTCTTTAGATGATATGTGTAATATGGTGTCTGTTGAGATTCATAGTCTTGAGATAGGAAAGATTGGTAAGGAAACTATAAAAATTTTTTATTATAATAATGATGATTTTAGAGGCAATACTTTAAATAAAATAAGTGCTTGGATAGATAATAAAAATAATTTTAACTTAGCAGATAATATGGAGTAGTGGGAAGGAACTCTCATTTTATAGGTTAGAGCTTGAGTGATTCCTCCCTTTAAATGTCCACTACTCTTGAGTTTTTTACTTAGCTTGCCTTAGCCCATTTTCAGTCTTATAATAAAGTTATATTCTATTATTACTTGATTTTTAAATGTGTTTGGTCATAAATTCAAAATGAAACTTCATTGCTATACAATCAAAATTAAAAGTTATTATGATCTTTCAGTTTGAGGTCCGTGTAGTACATATCATCAATACTACCTTACGGCTTATGCATAATTTATATAATTTATTTAAGACACGTATTGTACAACCTCTATAAGGTGCACGTATAATTTGTTTGTAAATTGATCATAAACATAACTGCCACACATTATGCATTAACAAATAAAAAAAGACACAATTACATTGAAAAGTGGCACATATTTAGAGGTTGGAAGCATGGATGTAAGGTCTGTGACGAATGCAATCACCATTCACATCTGTATTGCAAAACATACAAAAAAGTAGCACAAATCTCCAGACAATACAGCAATATCTATGTTTAAAAGCATCGTAAAAAATTCACATGCGGAACATCAATCACTTTTAAAAAAGTGAGTCACGGGCTATATTGTTCAAATGTGTACATTTTTTTTATTTTCTGATATATTCATTCACGTGTAAACCTAGCTTAATTATATTACATAAATGGAAACTCTTAATATTGTGAATTAATTTCGAATCTTAATTAGAAACCAAAAAAATTAAAACCGTAATTGACAAGGTCGATGCCGATCCCGACTCTTCGAAACCATTTCTTTAAAACTTGGTGTTGCAAGAGTACTACGCTTGCTTGGTTCTTTTTTTTCGGTAGACATAGTGCAATTGGACCAATATGCATTGAAAATGATGAGAAGCGTATCAAGGCTGGTGAGAAAAGTAGGAACTTGTTCAAGTGACATGGGCACATCAATGTGACCAACTTCTATCATAACATATAAGGCATCACACAAAAGAGTTGTGAGATAGAATGTGATATGATGCCCTGAAGTACAAAACAATTGTTCAGTGATGTGTAATCTGAAAAAAAATTAGTATTGGAAACTCACCAACAACTTGAAATCCGAGCATACAATTCATGTTATAAAAGTCAATCGCATCTTTGTTAAATACAGCTATCCTGATGAGATCGGTGCAAAGGAGGTAAAGGTTGTTCATCTCCTCTTGAACTTTCGCTTCACCATGTCCTTTGCTCAAGCTCCAAGACAGCTGGTCGATTTCTTTGATAATAGCATCTGGTTGTTTTGCTCTGCCGACTGGTTTTCTAGCCTTTGACTCCACAGCCTCTTTATTTGACCTGTAGTATTCCTATTGATTAAGAAATGTATAAGTGAAAATATATCAAGTTTAAGAGCTTACCATCGCAAAAATGTACCGCGATCAGGATCCGTAAAAAGCGGGCTAAGAATTGTGTCAATATAAGTGATGCACAGTTCCACCTCTCCAACGGGGCCTTTAAGTGTGAGTCTTGGAACTCTTTCGATACTAGTAGTTAGAAATAAAACTGTGTTTAGTATTGGTTACTATAAACCCCGCTCTATAATTCGTTACAATCTTACATGTTTCTTATGGCCCTCAAAATTGCGCGTTCTCCACAAGAACGGCCAACTGTAAGAATTTGCAGTTCTGAAACTGCATCGTCTCTTGTGATTTCCTTCCGTTGTAGGCGCTGTAGCAAGAATGAGTGCATAAAATTTTTTCACATCAAATAAGTGTAAAGAAAATATATATACCTTAACAATGCGAATAAGCTTCATCAATAACTCACTATCAAACTCTGTTTCTTGTTTGGTAAGTCTCTGTATGATATCCTCGTACATCGTTACCAGTAACTCGTCTCCAAAAACTTCCACTATTAACGGGCAATGTTGTTTGGGTTTAAGCAAAAGGATATGCGATAGCGACCTATACATTATAAAATTAGCTTCTGTAGTAACTACCTTAGTAAATGAAAAATTTGAAAGCATACAATATTTGCTGTGTATGGCTTTCTACAAAAAGGCCTTCTCTATTTGCCAATTCTAATGATTTTTCCTTAAATAAATGCCATCGCTCAGAGACGTCCGTGTCGTTTATGAACCATCTGGACTCTTTTCGAGGCAATGGTCCCAATTCTAGTTCTATAACGTCATTGATTATTGCTGGGCAACTGGGCACAATTTCAGTATCCGAAAGAGTGTCAGATTGGTCCCTTCTATCAAAAAACGGATTGTTTTCAGCGTCTGCAACTAGTTCGCTTGAGTTAAAAATCAAATGAATGATAATGCGTTAATAACAGATAGCAATAATAAATGGCGAATATAATGAAACTTACGTAAATTGCCTCTTCTGCGATGAATTTTAAGGTTTTAAGAAAAATATTGAATTATCTATTATTATCCAAAAACAATAAGTGGCCTGTCGATCTCACCTTTTTCTTCTGTGCTATAGTTTCTTCCTCTTCATGGTCTCGGCGATGTTTTTCAGTAAAACGTCGATTATCAATATTATCAATGGAAACATTATTTCCGGTCGCAAGCACCTGCTGTCCTATCTAATCGAAAATAACATTATTCATAGTTTTTTTTTACATTATGAAATCTTCAGGTCAGAATCTCACCTGATGAAACTCAAACTTGGGGCCTATATCATTCGGCTTTGCCCTATTACTTGCAGTCCAAGACTTAATGAAAACGTTAGTAGGAAACATTGTACAACAATCAAATAGAATCGAATCAAGAGTTATTAAATAGTTCAAATAGACCATTTTTTAATACTAGGAAACAAATTTATCAAAATATATGAGCGTCGAACAAGCAGTTCATCACTGGCAACTAGCAGTCCCAGTTTGCACTCAAAAAGGAAGCGTCGAACAAGCAGTTCATCACTGGCAACTAGCAGTCCCAGCTTGCGCTAGAAAAGGAACGTCGAACAAGCAGTTCATCACTGGCAACTAGCAGTCCCAGCTTGCGTTCAAAAAAGAACTAATAACTAGGTGTTCCTCAAATTATTTATAAAAAATATACCTTCCAGCAGTCAAGGATTTCTTGAGCTTTCTTTTTGTGCATGACGCTAAACCCAGATTCTGAAGCTGTGATGTCTCGAAGATCCTTCTTTATTTTATCAAGTACATATTCCCAATCTTTTCGTTCTAGCTTATCGCGATAATGTTCTACAATATTTGCACACGTCCAGTCTATAAATGTGGTATAACGATAAAAATCCATAAGTGTGGATATAGGCATATTTGCATTTGAAATTCTGGGGGTTTAAATGTATGATCGGACTCCACGACTTGAACGTGTCTTTAGGACGCAAAAGCATTGAAGAAGTTCGTTTTGATTGGTTAATTGTAGATCTCGGATCATAGCTCGGATCATATCTCGGATCATACCT